AATACTGGAAGGATGCTTGTCAGACTGGAGGCCTGTGACTAGTGATGTGCCTCAGGGGTCAGTGCTGGGCCCATTGCTGTTTGTTACCGATATGAATGATTTGGATGAGAATGTATAAGGCATGATTAGTAAATTTGCAGATGACACCTAAAATAGGTGGTATCGTTAATAGTGAGGAAGGTTATCAGAAATTGCAGCAGGATCTTGATCAGCTGGGGAAGTGGGCCAAGAAATGACAAATGTAGTTTAATACAGGTAAGGGTGAGGTGTTGCATTTTGGAAAGTCAAATCAAGGTAGGAGTTTCATGGTGAATGGTAGGGCTTCAAGGAGTGTAGTGGAACAGAGGGACCTTAGAGTTCAGGTGCATGGTTCTCTGAAAGTGGAGTTACAGGCACACAGGGCAGTGAAGAAGGCTTTTGGGACATTGGCCTTGATCAGTCAGGACACTGAGTGCAGAAGTTGGGAAGTTATGTTGAGATGTACAGGACATTGGTGAGGCCGCACTTGGAGTATTGTGTTCAGTTTTGGTCACCTTGCGATAGGAATGATGTTATTAAACTGGAAAGAATGCAGAAGAAATTTACAGGGACTCAAGGGACTGAGTTATAAGGAGAGGTTGGACAAGCTAGGACTTCTTCCTTTAGAGCATAGGAGACTCGGGGTGCGGGGGGGAGAGGGGGGCGGAATCTTACAGAAGTGTCTAAGATCATGAGAGGCATGGATAGGGTGACTGCACTCAGTCTTTTTCTAGAGGGCATCAGTTTAAGGTAATAGGGGAAAGAATACACGGGGGCCATGAGGGGCAACTTTTTTACACACTGGATGATACACATATGGAATGAGCTGCCAGCAGAAGTGATTAAGGTGGCTATATTAACAACATTTAAAAGGCATTTGGATAAATACATGGATAGGAAAGGTTTAGAAGGATATGGGCCAAGTGCAGGGAAGTGGATTTAGTGTGGATGGACATTTTGGTCGACATTGACAAGTTTAGGCCGAAGGGCCTGTCTCCGTGCTGTAGGACTTTATGAATCTCTAAGTGAATGAGCTAGAACATAGTAGATGGAATAAAAGTGAATAAATGTAAAGTCATTCATTTTGGTAGAAAAAAACGGAAAGGAATAAAAGCAACAGGTTGGAAAGTGCAGGTGCCCGGGGGACCTGGTTTTCTTTACAAGGGGATTTGAATACAGGAGTAAAGATGTCATGCTATAGCTTTAGTAAGACCTCACCAGGACTACTGTGTGCTGTTTTGGTTGTCTTATCTTAGGGCAGATATACTTGCTATAGAGGTAGTGTGACAGAGGTTCCCGACGTTACTCACTGGGATGTTGGGATTATTTTATGACGACAGATTGAGGGAACTGGGTCTGTATTCCCTAGAGTTTTGAAGAATAAGGGTGACCTCACTGAAACTTACAAAACTGTTACAGGGCATGACAGAGTGAATGCAGACGTTTCCCCTGGCTGGTGAGTCTCAAATGAGGAACATAATCTCAGGATAAGATGTAGGCCATAGTGAGGATCTTTTTTACTCAGAGGGAGGTGAATCTTTGGAATTCTCTGCCCCAGAGGGCTGTGGAAATTGCTAAGCATATTCAACATAATAATTTATAGATTTCTGGAGACCAATGACATCAAGAGGTATGGAGATAGTGTGGAAAAGTGGCATTGAGGTAGATTATCAGTCATGGTCTTATTGAATGGTCGAATGCTTTTTATGATCCTTAACAGATAATAAAAGCAAAGGTAATATAGATAATTCAATCTTAGAATTTTTTTCTGAAGAAGGGTCTAGGCCCGAAACGTCAGCTTTCCTGCTCCTCTGATGCTGCTTGGCCTGCTGTGTTCATCCAGATCTACACCTTGTTATCTCAGATTCTCCAGCGTCTGCAGTTCCTACTATCTCTTAGAATTTGTACAGGTGTGATTGGCTAAATCACCTCGTTTTGTGCTGTAATCTGTCAAGATCTGATCTTTTAATTATGATTTCATTTATATGTATGGAATAATGAGCAACTTACACCAGGGATACCTGGTATATCATCCTTTACCGCGCCACCAACTTACCAGGATGACACCCAAGCTCCATAGATCACAGGATTCGTCGTAACCATCATCTTTCAGTAATTCAGGAGCTGCGTAATGCAACGTAAAGCATGGGGTCTTCAAAGGCTGATTATCAGGAGGTTTCAATCGTGCAAACCCAAAATCAATGATTTTAATTTCTGTGCTGTCACTATCATCAGCGTATAATAAGTTCTACAGAACAAGAGTTGGGGCGGGGCAAATAGGAAACAGGATTATTAATAAATATCATCACTTGTACCTACAAAATGTTCTGCAAAACATTGAACTATAATATCCTTCTCATAGCATGTTCCTGTAAAATGTTTCATTAGATTAGATTATTATCTGTAAATGAGGATCAATCTTTGTCTTTCTAAAAGATGACACAGGAAACTAAAATTAATCAATTACATGAATGTTTTTTGCTGCAAAATCATATAGGAAGCATCTGTTCACCTCAGAAAACTAAATGTAAATCAGATTAAGTTGAAGAAATATGATTTATACTCAAAGGAAATGCAGTTGAACATTGTCAATTATTCAGTATCATCCCTCTTGCCACATGGCATTTCTCAGTACTTTAACATACACTTTGTCCCTCATAGGGGCTCCATCTATGCTCTTACAAAAGGCCACACACCCACACAAAATCCACTTGGAAGGTCACTTGACAGCTCCATTCTCAACACTTGCAATCTAAAATTAGGTTATGGTGACCAATGATTGTTGGAAAAACGTTTCTGGTTCACTACTGTTCTTTAGGGAAAGAAATCTGCCAGCCTTACCTGGTCCGACCTACATGTGACTCAGAACCCACAGCAATGTTGTTGTCTCTTAACTGCCCTCTGAAATAGCCACTAAGTTCCAGGGCAATTAGTGATGGACAACAAATACTGGCCATGCCAGTGACAACCAGATCATGGAAAAAATTAAGAATAAAAAAGCATGCTTTATATTAAACATCCCCATCATGGGCCCAACAAGAGGAATACTAGAATTTACTGTACTGCTTGAGAGCAGCAGATTTTTACTGTAAATGACAAAGGGTCAGAAAGTACAATTGTTAGTCAGTATTATGTCATAGCTATGTTAATACAGTGGAGTGGAAGTCCCCAGTATGTACTCAGTTCTGGAAACACTCTTGCCATAATAATAGTTATTATTAGTGGTCTTGTCACATTATTGTCTGTAAACACAAAGTAATACTGTAGAGTTATTGCATTTCAATCCCCTCTGCTAATGTCCCAGCCATGGTGCTGCTCTGCTAAGACACTGAGTGGCCTTTATGATTCATTCACTTTGGCTCCACTCCCTGCATTCAAAATGTAGAGAAACTATACCACACCGGATAAAGTGGATTTCTGAAAAACTGCCCATGATTGGTGTGCATGAATGCACAATACAATTTTGACAAGCTATATGCATTTAAGTTCCATGCTATGAAGTACAAATGTTGAGTGTGTGTGGCCAACATAACATACACTAATATAATATACCATGGTCATCCCAGTAGGTTAGCATATTAAGGGTAATTAGACAGCTCTCTCAATACCTTTGTGTTGCTTCTTACATAAATCTATGCAATTAAAGAAAAATAGTTATTCTAGTCAGGGAATGACAGTTCATTAGCAAAGCTACGGTATTTAATTGTTAAGAAAATCATTCTCGCTGACCTTGAGACTATTAATAAATCCCAAAATTCACATGATGCTTTGTTACAAAGAACCAAAGGTACAATTTATTTCTCTGGTGTATAATTAATGTGTTATACCATCCTATACAGCAAGCAGATTTTCAAGGCAATGAAGTACAGTTATGCAATGGCAATTTGTTGCAGGAGAATTCAGCTCAGTTATGCACTTGACTGACAGTTGGGAAATTAAATTTTACACTTTATTAAAATTAATGAATTTAAAGTATTGCACGTAGTTTAAAAAATGCTCATCTAAAATATACAAGAATAGAAGTGATTTTAAAAAGAATCAGAGTAAAAATGGACTTGCCACTTTCAATGCCTCAGACAAAGTGACTGATCAATCACAAATGCTAATGATGGGGCTCTTAAGCACCTTTTGGAGTTTTACTGTGATAAAAGCACTACATAAATACAAATTGTTGCTGTTATTGCTGCCAGATATTGCCTCGGGAGGGAGCACAACAGCATTTGCCATGAATTAAACTTGCCTTTTCACACCTATGTTTTTAGATATTTTCTAATCAATCTGTTCAGAGATGTTATTACACACTTTGGGAGGAAGTTGGGCTTAAACCTGGGCCTCCTGGCTCAGAGATGGGGACATTACTACTGTACCACACTTAAGTTTTTAAACTTTTAACATGGAACGTTGCCGAAAATGGGAGCTAATCAACATTACAGACGAGTTAAGGACAGCAGGGCTAGTGACAAGATAGCAATGTCATTGAGTGAGTAATCCATAGGCCAAGGCCATTGCTGCTACCTTGACAGCTGATTAATAAAGCTAGTATCAGACGGTGGCAATGAAAATATCACTGATTGTTATAAAAACTTATCAGGTTCACTCATTTCTTTTATGGAAGGAATCCTGCCAGATTTATCTGGTCTGGCCCATATGTGACTCCAGACGCACAGCAATGCAGTTTGTTCTTAGCTGCCCTATGAAATGGTGCTACAAGCTATTCAGCTGAAGGACAGTTAAGAGATGGACAACAAATACTCACCCTGTCAAGGATATCCACATCTTGCAACAAAAAGAAAAAAGAAAATCCTTACCCAAAGAACGAAAAGTGAACCAGATACTTATTTCATAGTCATTATCACTCAGTCTAGCTTTCAAGTCCAGATTTTTTATTTAATGAATTTAAATTTCACCAGCTGCCACAATGGAATTTAAACCCAGAGCATAGCTTGCACCTGTAGATTACTAGATCAGTGGCATTATGGCCATGCCACGATCTCCTCCAACATTAACAACCAAACAGGAATGTAAGTTGAAAAGGGTGAATTCAATGTAAAGCAAGTAAAGAAAGAGAAATCAAGAGGGAAAGAAAGATTGGTTACAAGAAAAGAAAAATAGATGAAAACTATAAGGAAATAACATTTACATATTTTTACTCTGCAATAATTGGAATGAGACTCTGCACCTATCATAGTTAATTTTCAGTATCAACGAGGTTCTTTGGCAGTAATTATCATACTGGGAAAAGGATACTTGTCATGTTCCCAGGCACCACAAAGAAGAACTGTTCGTCAAAAAGAAGCTTGGGAGAAGAGTTGTGTATAATATATTACTAAAAGTTAGCAATGGCAAAGAGGTGGAGTTGTTATAACTGTAGAGACAGTTCAGGAAACATAGAGGGCTTCTGAAAGGAGAAAACATTTAGAAAGCCAGATTCTTGGAATGGGAGCTGGGGGGTGGAGCGTTGCGAGGGTGGAGGTGTTGTCAGTGCAGAGTAAAGAAGAAAATATACAACAACCTAAATTGGTAACTGCAGAGAGGGCCTGAGGTTAAATCATGAAGTGATTTTTAGAGTAGATACATTTAACGAAGGGGACCTAATAATTTGTCCACAGTTACATCACTAGGCTTGTATCATTAGACACTGAACATCTGCATTGTACAATTATATTCACTAGAAGAAGCTTACAGTACCTAAGCAGAATTTGTGTAATTTTCTATAGTGTGAAGCTATGTAATATCAGCAAGTCTAAAGGCAAAGTACTTCTGACAGTTGGTTATAAACTCAACTTCCCAGCCGTTGAAAGCAAATGCATTCCACAGGAAGGCATAGGTAGAAACATACTTCATATAAAAAAGTAAAGAATGTCCTTGACAACAAAAACAAAGTTGCTGGAAAAGCTCAGCAGTCTGGCAGCAGCTGTGAAAGAAAAAACAGAGTTAACGTTTCGGGTCTGGCGACCTTTCCTCAGAACACTCCAGTTCTGAGGAAGGGTCACCGGACCTGAAATGTTAACTCTGTTTTTCCCTTCACAGATGCTGCTAGACCTGCTGAGCTTTTCCAGCAACTTTGTTTTTGTTCCTGATTTACAGCATCCGCAGTTCTTTCGGTTTTTAAAGAATGTCCTTCATCTGTGCTCTAACGATTACAGTATTCTATGATTCTTCCAGTTAAGTGTCTTAGTTGTATATGGGAGTTCTAGAATAATGCAAGAAGTAGTTCTTGTTCAGGTTTTGGTGATCGCAAACTGGAACAGACAAATTGTTGTTAAATGAATTTTGGATTTACTGGAAAAGTTCTGCCAGTTAAGAGCAGAATGACTTCACAAGTCAGAAACCTGAGGTAGAGAGTATAACTCTTCTTCAATAAGGTGGTGGAAACTGAGTCTTTGAATGGCTTTAAGTCAGAGATAGATTCTTGATAAGGAAGGGAGTGAACAGATATATGGACAGGCAGCAATGTAGAGTAAACAGATCAGTCGTGATCTTATTGAAATGCCGAGTAGCCTACTCCTGCTTCTAATTGGTATGCTTGTATGTAACGAAGGAGAATAGAATAGATATGTACCGGGAACAGAAAGGAAAATTAGCTTAAATTCAATAGACAGGATGAATTAACATGAGAAATCCAGACACATGTTCCGCCTTCCTTGCTCTGGAATGTTTACATATTCAGTACCTCAGGCTTCAAGTCCCTGTGGACAACTCCCACATCATGCATATGGCTGACAGCAGAGACCAGTTTGCGCATTATGTGACTAGCTTCTGTTTCACTGAAGTGTTTCTTCTTTCGGATCCGCTCCAGCAGCTCCCCGCCTTTCAGCAGTTCCATCACTAAGAATGTGTGCAACTAAGAAAAAAGTAGAGTAAGAAACTAAAATTAATACAAAATTGTCTGTTAGAATAGAGAATAGGGAAAATAGAAGTCCTTTCAGTCACTCTCAATCAATGTGCAGGACATCACTGATTTTCTCCATGTATTTCACAGGCAATCTATGTAAGAAAAACAGCCTTCATAATCCAATGCCAGAGGTGCATTTAAGTATTTTTTTCCTCAATTTCACGGCTAATGCACTTGAAATGCTGTCTTTTGATCAAACCAACAAATCACATTTAAAGTTTTTGAGAAGATTTGTAGCTTGGGTTGTGGATGAGGTTGTAGACTTGCTCGCCAAGCTGGTGTGCTTGGTTGCAGATGTTTCGTCACCTTGCTAGGTAACATCGTCAGTGTGCCTCCGATGAAGCGTTGGTATTCTGTCCTGCTTGTTACTTATAGCCTTGTGGGACATTTGCCTATGTGGCCAAACTGGAAGAAAATTGCCAATAAGGATACACGAAATCCAACTAGCATCCAAGAGAAATGACCAATTCTCACTGGTCTCAATACACATGGACAAAAAAGCACACAAATTCAACTGGGACAACACATCCATAATAGCATAAGCCAAACAGGGACATGCCAGGGAATTCCTGGAGGCCTGGCATTCTAAACGGAACTCAATCAACAAACACATTGAACTGGACCCAATATACAAACCACTGAAGAACAGAACCAGAAGTAATACCAACCATCCCAGCAAACCGAGGCATATAAATAACAAGCAGGACAGAACACCAACGCTTCACCGGAGGCGCACTGACGATGCTACCTAGCAGGGCAACGAAACGTCTGCAATCAAACACACCGGCTCAGTGAGCAAGTCTGCAGCCTCAACAAAGCACATGACATAAAAGAAATTAAGGACTTCAGTTACATGGAGAGGCTAACTTTCTCACTGTTGCAGCTAATGTTACTCTAAAGTCCTTATCTCATATGTAAAGTTTCATTGATAAAGAAGCTGCATTATCATAGTGAGGTACACTCCTGATCCATACCTCTAAACCAAACGCATCATGGGCGCGACAGTTGAAAAGGAGTTAATAATTTTGACAATTTGAATATTAGACTTGGCATTAAAGAACTCATGTAGTATGTTTAGATATTTAGGGCTGACAGGTATCTGCATGGTTTGGTGCCTTGGGGAAATTTCGTCAAGAAGAGGATTACAACCAGATTGTACAAAAACATGCAGAGGAGAAACAATTATGGGAAGGAATTTCTTCTCCCAGGGGATAGTGAATGTCAGGAAGTCTTTACCCCAATGAGTTGTAGAGGCTAGATAACAAAAAATATTTAAAGTGGAGTTAGATAGATCTTTGAAATATTGGGGAGTTGAGTATTATGACGAGCCGTCACAAAAGAGTTGAAGTCGGAGGCAGATCAGCCATGATCTTGTTGAACGGCTGGGCAAGAGAAATACACCTGGTCTCGTCTACAAGTTAGAAAGCAAATTACTATGGTACACACTGGTCAAACGTGATTTGGTCAGGCTATGTATTTCAAAATTATGAAGAATTTTGATAGATTAAGTACAGAGCAATTGCTTCTAAGAAGCAATAGCGTCAGAAACCAGACACAAATGTGAGATGATTAGCAAAAGAACAAGGGAGGGAAGTAATGCTTTTTTTTGTTTTATACAGCAAGTGTTATGACCTGAAAAGCATTTCCTGAAAGGGTTCTAGTAGCAGGTTCAACAGAAACTTCTGAAAGGGAATTGATTTTTGTACTTGAAAGTGAAAATGTGCAAGGTGGCACAGTAGTTAGCACTGCTACCTCACAGCACCAAGGATCTGGGTTCAATTCCACCCTCGGGCAACTGTCTGAGTGGAGTTTGCATATTCTCCCCGTGTCTGCGTGGGTTTCCTCTGGGTGCTCCGGTTTCCTCCCACAGTCCAAAGATGTACAGGTTAGATGGATTGGCTGTGTCCAAGGATGTGGAGGCTAGGTGGGTTAGCCATGAGAAATGCAGGGTTACAGGGATGGAGTAGAGAGGTGGGTCTGGAATGAGATGCTTTTCAGAGGTTTGGTGTGGACTTGATGGGCCGAATAGCCTGCTCCCACATATAGGGATTCTATGATGTATGGTAAATTGCAGAGGAGTGAGACTAGATGGACAGATTACTCTTTTAAAAACCTAATATAAATATGATGTATTGAATGCCCCCTTCTCTGGTGTACATTTCCAGGTATAACCTGTTCCCCCAAAGAAAGACAGCAGCAGGAAGTGTGAGAGGCAGAGAGGCAGAGAGCCAGCAAGCAGAAAATAGTATGCTGTAGTCACTTGGTAGAGACTGCAGTAATTTAGTTCAGACTCAAAATGCAGTTGAAATATAAAGTGAGGCTGGATGAGGGAAGGGAAATGGTTCTCAGGATGAATTGCAGCGATTTGCTCTTGTAAAAAATCATTGAAAAGGACTGTGCATGTAGAGCAACTGCATTTTTGTTGAATAAACAGCAGGAAGCGAGTATTAATGTAATGCTAAGGTGAAAATTAATCGGATTATTTATGAAAGCTGCATGGAAATGAAAAAGAAAACCTCGGAAACCTGGTGTTCTTTTACAGCTTCTCAGCTTCTAGTCAGAGTGAACATTTCAAGGACACATCTTTACAATAGCTGTAGAGTATGACTGTGTGGGAGTGATACATCGAGTACTAATATTTACTGACACCAGGGGTGCCTTATGAAAGTATTAAATCATTTACTGCATCATACAATTATCAAAATGGACTTAAGAGTCATAGAGTTATAAAGCACAGAGGACGCCCTTCAGCCCAATGAGTCTGGACAGATCTATCTAGACTAATCCCACTTTCCAGCACGTGGCCAATAATGTTGAATGTTATGACATTTCAAGTGATCATCCACACACTTTTCAAAGATTATGAGGTATTCCACCTCTACTACTTTGCTAGGCAGTGCATTCCAGATTCCTATTCCAGATTGGGTGAAATATTTTTCCTTATATTCCATCCAAACCTCCTGCCCTTCACCTTAAAATTATTATTTAAACTTCTGTTTAAAAATTAAACAAATTCCATTAATACAGCTTTTTCTTAGACTGGTTGATTTCCAAAAGAGTTGTAAACAAGTAATAAATGTCAAGAGATGGTAGGAACTGCCGATGCTGGAGAATCTGATATAGCAAGGTGTAGAACTGGATGAACACAGCAGGCCAAGCAGCATCAGAGGAACAGGAAAGCTGATGTTTCAGGTCTAGACCCTTCTTCAGAAGGGTCTGAAGAAGGTCCTAGACCCGAAACGTCAGCTTTCCTGCTCCTCTGATGCTGCTTGGCCTGCTGTGTTCATCCAGCTCTACACCTTGTTATAATAAATGTCAACCCGATTTGCTTAGAATCAGCATATAGAGAAGTCAGGGATTATGTGGAGAGGGAAGGCTAAGGTGGAAAGGAGAAAGGAGGAAACAGGAAAAGAGGGAAGAGAAAGGTGGGGTGAGAGAGAGGTTGGGTTAGGCAGGGAGGGCGACCTAAAAGATAAGAGTGCACAATTTAAGTGCATCTCTACTGAGGAAATCCTCTCAACGTGAGGCATGGTGCCTGTCAATGTAAATGCATAAGACCACAAGATACAGGAACAGAATGAGGCCATTCAGTCATCTGCATCTGCTCCACTATTCAATCATGGCTAATATGTTTCTCAACCTCATTCTTTTGCCTTCTCCCCATAACGCTTGATCTCCTTATAATTAAGAAAGTATCTATTTTTGTCTTAAAGGCACTCAATGACTTGGCCTCCACAGCCTGCCCCGGCAATGAGTTACACAGATTAATCACCCTCTCACTGAAGACATTCCTCCTTATCTCAGTTCTAAAGGGCCATCTCTTCACTCTGAGACTATGCCCTCGGATCCTAGTCTATCCTATTAGTGGAAATATCTTCTCCACATCCAATCTTTCCAGGCCTCACTGTATTCTGTAACTTTCAGTAAGTTCCTCCCTCATCCTCTTAAATTCCATTGAGTACAGAACCAAAGTCCTCAACCGCTCTTCACATGACAAGCCCTTCATCCCTGGGATCATTCTTGTAAACCTCTTCTGGAACCTCTCCAATGCCACCACATCCTTCCTTGGATACGGGGCTCAAAACTGCTCACAATATTCCAAATCCGATATGACCAGAGCCTTATACATTCTCAGTAGTACATCCCTTCTGTGGTATTCTAGACGTCTTGAAATGAATGCTAACATTCATTTCCTAACTGCCAAGTGAAACTGCAAGTTAACCTTAACAGAATCCTGAACTAGGATTCTTAAGTCCCTTTGTGCTTTAGATTTCCAAAGCCTTTCCTCATATAGAAAATCGTCTGTCTTTATTACTCCTATCAAAGTGCATAACCTCACACTTGTCCACATTGTATTTCATCTACCATTATTTTGCCTCCTCTCCTATCATGTCTAAGTCCTTCTGCAGCCTCTCCATTTCCTCAACAATACATCTGCCTCCATCTGTTTTTGTGTCATCTGCAAATTTAGTTCCTTTGTCCAGATCGTTAATATATAACGTGAATAGTTGTGCAGCCAACACAGATCCCTGCAAAAGTTCACTAATCACTGGTAGATATCCTGAAAAAGACGCCTTTATCTGCTCTCTGCTCTCTGCCAGTCAGCCAATCTTCTATGCCAGTACCTTGCCACTAACACCATGGGCTCTTATTGTGTTTAACAGCCTCCAATGCAACACCTTGTCAAAGGCCTACTGGAAAGTCCAAGTGGTACAGTGAATAGGAAAAAGTGTTGGGAAAGGGGTCTCCCACATTGAGATTTGAAACTGGTCAAGGATTATATTTAAAGGGAACTGTTAGGTGAAATAGATCAGCAGCCAGAAAGTGGGCTGTAATGGAAAATGCAACTAACAGGAAGGACTGGCAGTACTCATGGGAATTATAGCTCATGGTGAAACATTGAGAATTTAAGATTGCAAATTGAGCAGAGGCAGAATGGATAGCATTATGGAAAATGGGAAAAGCAGAAGGACAGAGAATGGACAGACAGGGAAACAAGCTGTGGTGGAGAGCTGGCAGGAGGAGTGATGGGGCTGACAGTGGGGATACAGAGTGTGGGAGGCACATGGGAAGGGGGGTGGAAGTGGCAAGAAGGAATTTGACAGCTGGGAATAGGAACAGTTTATTTTACTCTTGGGAAGAAGGAACTTGTCATTAGCTGGTGGATAATTCTGATTTTGGCACTGGATGTAGAAATGAGGGCTAATTTGGTTTCTCATTAGCTTAGTGAAAGAGACATGCGACCAATGGGCAGCATCATCTTCAGGCTCCGCAAAAGCAGTAAAAGTTGAATTTACATAGCATCTTTCACATTACATCTTAATGATTTACATTTGAAATACTTTTTTATGTTGCTTTGTGGTTACATGCAGGCAGTAAGGTCCTACAAACAGTGCTAACATAAATAATCCGACCAGTGGTTTTGCTTAGTATCAACTGAGGTATAAATTACATCAGGAGACATCGAGTGTACTTTAAATACTGTCTTGGGAACTTCGAAATTCACTTAAGGAGGGAAACTGTACATGAGTTTAATTGCCCCATCTGAAGAATGGAATCCCAAAAATTCAATGTGTTCTCAGAAGCTAGAAATGATTGCTTGCTCTCCCTTTAGTTGCATCATTTATAACGTCACAGGCTTTGTAGCGCCTGGTGAGATGCACCACGATGTAGCCTCAATGCAATATTATTGACACTTGTGGTACTCAACCTACAAGAACACTGCTTTTCTAATATTATCAAATGACTCCCATCAAGTTAACTTGAAGCAAATATACTGCAACTATTACTGGAAGGCAAGGCGCACTTAACAGAAAATCATTTAATGCGAATTGCCAAAACACACAATGCTTTTGCAGCATACCTGGTCGTGGTGAACATCATGTAGTTTTACAATGTTAGGGTGTCCTTCACACAGCTTGAGAGCTGCAATCTCTCTTTGAGTGTTTGCTTCCATTCTGTAAAATGGATGAAAAAGTATTAGATGTTGAATGGAATAGAACGCAGACTGATCAAACAGAGATAGATGCTGTCTTTTGTTGTGTCTTTCTTGTACATCAACACTGTTACCTCTTCTAGCCCCTCTCCACTACTGCTCAAGGTTGTTGAGTATTTTTTTAAGTTTACACATGGCATATGGGTATCACAGGATGGGCAAAAAGTGTCAGAAAGTGAATTTGGAACAGTGACCTAAATACATCGGTTTCAAGAGAGCATATGATTGTCGTAGATTGCCTGGAGGAATGTCTGTTGTGTTAATGGGTAAGATATTTATACTCTTGTGTTTAAGACAGGCAGCATAAACACATTAAAGTAATTAGTTCAGTTTTGAGTTCAGAACAGAGATTCAAAATTTTTGTTCAGAAGAACCTAAAATTCAGTTCAGTAGCAGGAGAATAATGTCACTTCAGGGAGACCAATCACTTTCAGCACATGGTTTCTTTTGTTAGAACTGAAAAAATTTTACATTCTAACACGCTGGTCATTTTCTTTCTCACGGCTGCAGCCAGACATGCTAAAGATTCTCAGCATTTTATGACTTAATTTCAGTGTATATGCTTTACGCTTCATACAAGGAGACAGTTAGCTCAGTTAGCTGGATGGCTGACTTGCAATGCAGAGTAATGCCAACAAATTGGATTCAGTCTCTGCACAGCTGAGGTTACCATGAGGTTACCTCGCCTCTCGCCTGAGATGTGGTGATCCTCAGATTAAACCACCACTAGTTGTCGCTCTCTAATGAGTGAGAAGCCCCTTGGTCCAGTAGGACTATGGTGACTTTACCTTTATACCATTCCAGAATATTCATCCTTCTGTTATCTTTACAGTCTAATGAACTTCTAAGAACGAAAAATGCAAATAACTTGTCAAAACATAAGATCTCAAAATTAGAACTCTTGCAAAGTATTTTAGACTTTCAGCAAGAGTACTGGCAAATATTTATCACCTCTATTTGTGAAAGTGCTGGAGAGCAATTCGTATGTGGTACTTCCCACTCCTGTTAACCGACAGAATATTATTTAAGTCAAAGAAACTTTGATGAAGAACACTCATAAGGAAATATTGTAATAAGTGAGAAGAAATAGTTATCTTTGCTTTAACACAAAATGTCAAATTTAGATTTCAATACTATGTCCAAAATATGGCATTAATCTCCAAATGGAAATATGTGCTGCCTCTTAGATGACTGTTACCATTTTACATCCGGATGTTGCTATGAGGGATGAGGGACAAATAAAGTCAAATCAATGCTCTCAGTGTACAAACAATCATCTTGGCCATAATGCTCTGAATAGAAGTTCTCTAAGGGTGAGGAGGCAATGATAGTGTCACTGGAGTTGAACTCAAAGCTAATATTTTTGTGTATGGGCTTGAGTCCCACCATGGCAGATAGTGAAATCTGAATTTGATATAAAAAAATCTGGAATTTAAAAACTAGGCTAATTTTGAACACGTAACCACTGTCGATTCTTGTAAATACCCATCTGGTTCATTAATGTTCCTTCGGGAAGGAAATCTGGTCTTACCTGGTCTGATCTACATCCAACTCCAGTCACACAGCAATGTGGGTGACATTTACTTGTCCTCTGGGCAATTAGAGATGGGCCATAAATGCTGGCCTAGCCAGCTACACACACATCTCATGAATGACTTTTTTTCGCAACAATGTCTAATATTTAGCTATACATTGATGTTTCTGAGATTTTCTTGCTATGAAGCAAAAAAATAACTGATATGGATAAAAGGAATAGAAAAGTATTTGAACTGTATTTACTAGGACACAAGATACTTGATTAACAGAAATCTTACATGGTATATTTTTAAAACAATGCTGGTTTGACGTTACCTTTTGCTGACAATTTTGACAGCAAATTCCTGCCCAGTTTTCTTATTACGACACCTCCTACAGATAGAGAAGCTTCCTTCTCCAAGTGGACTGTCTTTTAGATCCAGATCATAATGTTGATAAAATGGGGAATCCTATTAGAGGTAGGTGGGGAGATGAAATTCAAAAATTGTTAAATATGAGTAATTTATGTTAACTTAAATATAACTGTAGAGAGGCGCTTCAAACAAAGCAATACAAACTGGACGTATCCAGTGTTAAGACCTCACTTATATTATTTAAAGTGCTTTCAAAGATAAACCGATAAATGTGAGATCTAATGAGCCTATTTAAAATGGTCATTTATGTTAATAATAAACTCAAAGATTCAATGACTAAGTCATACTTAACATTATAAATACCTTCATCATAGCACTGCGTGCAATGGCAGTACTACCAGGGCGATCCACTCCCAGATGAAGCTGAATGGGATCAGTCATAACAGCATTACGTTTGAAGAGAATGGAGGGAGCAATGAAAGAGTAGCCCTGACAAGAAGATACAAAGATAAACTTTTAATCTGAACGTTAGTTACATTAAAAAACAGATATTCAGTGCACACAGTAAGGCCATTTGGGCCATCTGGGCCATCATATCAATACCAGTTCTTTATGAGAGCAACACCATCCTTAGCCCACTGTCTGGCTTTTTTCAACTCCTTTTGTGCCTTCTTTAGCTTCAGGTGTTTATTTACTTTGATGCATTGGTCTCTGCTCAATCCTTCCCTCTGGCAGAGCATTATATGGTGTAATTACAAAATAAAAACCGAAAAAACTGAGGATGCTGGAAACCAGAAACAAAAACAGAAATTCCTGGAAAAGCTCAACAGGTCTGGCAGCATCTGTGGAGAGAAATCAGAGTTAACGTTTCGGGTCCAGCGACCGCTCCTCAGAACTAATGGTAACTAGGAAAATGTTTTTTATGCAGAAGATAGGCTGGACGAGGGGGTAAGGAGTGAGTGATAGGTGGAGATAGAGCCCAAAAGAGACAGAAGAACAGTCAAACAGACAAAGGATCAACCTGGGAGAATGAATAGCTACTAATGGGGACAATTAGTAGATAACAATAAGTTGTTCTTAATAGCAGACCATGTGATAACAAGGCCTGAAATATGGGGTTGGACTAAGAACATGGGAGAAGGCCCTAAAATTGTTGACATCGAGTCCAGAAGGCTGTAGAGATCCTGAGTGGAAAATGAGGTGCTGTTATTTCAGCTTGCACTGAGCTTCACAGGAGCACTGCAGCAAGCCTGAGACACAGATGGTGGCTAGGGAACAGGGTGGCAACTGGAAGCTCAGGGTCTTTTTTGTGGACAGAATGTAGGTGTTCTGCGAAGCGGTCACCTATGCTTCATTTCCCCAATGTAGAAGAGACTACCCTCACCCTCCAACACTCCAAGGAAAAAAGCACCCCAGCCTATTCAGCCTCTCCCTATAACTCAAAAAAACCCTCCAGTCCCGACAACATCCTTATAAATCTTTTCTGCACCATCTCAAGCTTAACAACATTCTTCCTATAGAAGGATAACCAAAATTGTACTCAGTATTCCTAAACTGGCCTCACCAATGTCCATTATTGCTTCTTTCGCCAATCACTTTAGACATATAGCTTCTGGTTCATGCTCCTTCCACCGTGTTCACACCCCTTGTGACTTTGATTGCCGCTATCAGTGTAACTCGCTGAAGAAAACAGGGCCTGGATACCCTAGTGTTTCCTTTTTTAATGGTAGTCCCTCACTCCTGGATGAGCTAGTCAGCCGGTACTGCAGGCTCAAATGACCTGTTCCTTACTTCTTATGTTAAGAGATGGGTGCATAAGGGCCCTGATTTTTAACCAGACCTACCCAGGCTGAAGTGCTGAGATACACAATTTACCCTCCATTAAACTCTGTTGTCCACTGAAGAAGGATCTCTCCTCTGAACAGTGACAACACAAGCTTGGCTTTGATTCATTCAAAACCCTTTGTTTTAAGAACCGTAAAATGTTGTTTTCAAGCCACTCATTTATCCAATTTCACTGATGAAATAACCAATAGAATTTGCTAAATCATTGATGAGCTATTAAAATACTACAAACAGAATGAACAGACTTCAATAACAATCAAGCAATAATGACAGAAAACGTGTGACCATTGTAGACTTAGATAACTCTCCCCTCTCAACTTTCTAATTCAGGCTATGCCTATGGTAGGAAGCAGCTTTGGTTTCCATTCCCTTACATTTCTTTCCTCCCTTCTCTCCCCTTCCACTCTCTCTCTTCTTTTTACCTTTTTTTTCTCTTTTTCATTTACTTTCTACAGTTCCACTTCTCAGTGTTTTCCTTCATCCGTGCCCCTCTGTCCCCTGGATTTCCTGTCTCCCCTAAACTCCTTCTCTTCCCGTTCCTCTCTTTCCCTCTTACCCCTCCACTCTCTCTTTCATTCCCCCTTCTATCCCCCTTCTCTCACTTAACCCCCCATGTCCTGTCTCTTTCTCTCTCCCCCACTTTCCACACTCTGTCTCTTAACATCCCTTAACTACCCTTTTATCGTTCCTCCCACTTTTCTCTCTCTCCCCATCTTTCCTCTCTCTCCCCGTTTCTTTTTTTTCTCTCCCTCACTTTCTAATCTCTCTTTCGCTTTCCTTTCTTTCTCCCTCCCTCACTCTTGCCTTCCTTCTGACCTTTCTCCTTTCTTTGACCTCTCCCTCAATCTCTTTCTGCCATCCGATTTTCCCCTTTTCCTCAATATCTCTACCCGTCCTTTCCTCTTTGCTCCTGCCCATTATCTGCCCCTGCCCTTCTGTCTAACCTTTCTCTTTTTCTGTCCTCTACTCTTAAATATTCACTGGTTTGTTTCCACATTCATTCTCTTAATTAATTGTCCCATCACGATGCTCCTTCTGGTCTTAAAATACCCTCTCCAAACCTGGCTGGAAGCATGGAATCTCTCGTTGTGCTGATTTGTCACAGTTAATATAAGCATGCCATCAAATTTTCATAAGCTCACTGTTGTACTTTAGCAAATTCCCAGTAACAACAATTATTTTTAGCAGATGATAAATCACAAGACATTTTAGAAGCAGCTGATAGGTTTCTTTGAATAGAGGAATGTGAAATCACAGGTGTAAGAAAAATGAAAATAATAAAACAGATAAAAGTTATAATTTGACAGTTGTTCAATAGTGACGACATTTAGCACTGTTGATTAACATAGCTTCTTGTGAACAGCAGCAGTAAATTCTGGTCTGACAAGTTTGTACGCAGAAAATAGGTTTAAATGAAAACATCTTTGGGGTCTTGACCTTGTTAGTGGGTGTAAGGCCTCCAGTGTGATAATTACATAGCAAGTTCATGTGGGGGAGCTTCAACTGGTGATGCATGAACACTGGAAACAGTTTTGGAGTGGGTGACCAAAAATACTTGACTTTTTCTGGAACTAGATTATGGGACTATCATTTTGCAAGTCATGAATCATACAATTCAGCCTTCCTCTATCACTTTATGTGTCTAAAATAACAGATGGTTAAGTCAACAGGTGACAGTCTCCTGCTGTATTTTCTGTGGACAACTTTCTGATATTAGAGTTCTTAAGTAGAATTTTTGTCCCTCCTCAAATAGGTCAAATAGACAAGGAAATACTGAATGAATGGCAGGACATTAGGAGGAACAGAGGGATGTTGGGGTGCTTGTTCACAGAACCCTGAAGGCAGCAGGACACATTAATGGGTTGGTTAAGAAGGCATACAAGACACTTTCCTTTAATAGCTGTGACATAGATTGTAGGAGCAAGGAGGTTAAGTTGGAATGGTACAGGACCGAAGTTGGAGTATTGTATGCAGTTCTGTTCACTGCACTAAGAGAGCTGCAGAGTAACTTCACCAGGTTGTTGACTGGGACGGACTAGGTTAGCTATAAAGAGACAAAAATAGAAATTGCTGGAAAAGCTCAGCAGGTCTGGCAGCATCTGTGGAGAGAAGTCAGGGTTAACATTTCAGGTCCAGTGACCCTTCCCCAGAATGGACCCGAAACATAACCCTGATTTCTCTCCACAGATGCTGTCAGACCTGCTGAGTATTTCCAGCAATTTCTGCTTTTGTTTTTGATTTCCAGCATCTGCAGTTCTTTCAGTTTTTATTTAGCTATAAAGAGAAGCTGGATTAGCTTGGGTTGTTTTCTTTACAGGAGAGAGGTTGTATGCCCTAACTAAAGCGTACAAGATTATGAGGGGCGTGGACAGAATGGATAGAAAGCAGCTGTACCCCTTGGTTGAATGGTCAAGATCAAGGGGGCATAATTTTAAAGAGGAGTCGCAGGTAGACAGGGCGGTGAAGGCGGCGTTTGGCACGCTTGGTTTCATTGCTCAGAATGGTGAGTAAAGCAGTGGGATGCCATGTTGTAGCTATACAGGACATTAGTGAGGCTACTTTTAGAATACCACATACAATTCTGGTTGCCCTTCTATAGGAAAGATGTTGTTAAACTTGAGAGGCTGCAGAAAAGATTTACAAGGATGTTGCTGGGACTGAAGGGTTTGAATTATACAGACAGACTGAATAAGCTGGGGCTTTTTCCCCTGGAGCATTGGAGGCACAGGGGTGACCTTATAGAGGTTTATAAAATTGAGAGGGGCATGAATAGGATAAATAACCAAGGTCTTTTTTCTATGGTGAGGTGAATCCAAAACTACAGGTGTAAGGGGAGAGGGAAAAGATTTAAAAAGAACCTGAGGGGTAACTTTTTTTACTCAGAGGGTGGTGTGTGTATGGAACAAGCTGTCACAGGAAGTGCTAGTGACAGGTACAATTACAACATTTAAAAAGCATCTGGATGGATATATAAATAGGAAAGATTTAGATGCACATGAGCCAAATGTGCTGGCAAGTGGGACGAGATCAAATTGAGATGTCTGGTTGGCGTGTGAGAGTTGGACTGAAGAGTTTGTTTCCGTGCTGTATGACTATATAAGTGTTTGTTTAAAAAAATCTAAGAGTTTTGACAGTGTTTTAATGGTACCTACCTGAAATATCCTATCGGAGTTCTGAGGCAATGCTGCAGGCGAATATGTAGGATCCATTTCCGTGAATTCTTCAGCAAAATTGCTAACATCCAACTCATCCCTGATGACAGGTTTAAATGGAGCTTCAATGTTTTTGGCAGATAACTCATCCCAGTTTATCTTCTGCCAATAGTAAAAGTATGACAAAGAAGGCTATTAACAATGGCCAACAACAACCTGCATTTATACAGCTCCCACAACATGGCAAAATATCCTAAACATAGAAACACAATGTGACAAACTTGTAAGTATTACAACTAATAACTGCAATTGATATTGGAAAGAAATCATACAATATTCTCCACTTAGAACATATTTATAAAACAGTGATAGTAGGAACTGCAGATGCTGGAGAATCCGAGACAACAAGGTGCAGGGCTGGATGAACACAGCAGGCCAAGCCGCATCATAGGAGCAGAGAGGCTGACGTTTCGGGCCTAGACCCTTCATCAGAAAAGGGGGAGGGGAAGGGGGTTCTGAAATAAATAGGGAGAGAGTGGGAGGCGGATAGAACAGGGATAGAGGAGAGGATAGGTGGAGAGGAAACAAACAGGTCGAAGAGGCGGGGATGGAGCCAGTAAAGGTGAGTGTAGGTAGGGAGTTAGGAAGGGGACAGGTCAGTCCAGGGAGGACGGACAGGTCAAGGGGGCGGGATGAGGTTGGTCGGTAGGAGATGGAGGTGCGGCTTGAGGTGGGAGGAGGGGATAGGTGGGAGGAAGAACAGGTTAGGGAGGCAGGGACGAGCTGGACTGGTTTTGGGATGCGGTAGGTGGAGGGGAGATTTTGAAACTTGTGAAATCCACATTGATACCATTGGGCTGCAGGGTTCCCAAGCGGAATATGAGTTGCTGTTCCTGCAACCTTCGGGTGGCATCGTTGTGGCACTGCAGGAGGCCCAGGATGGACATGTCGTCTGAGGAATGGGAGGGGGAGTTGAAATGGTTCGCGACTGGGAGGTGCAGTTGTTTATTGCGAACCGAGCGTAGGTGTTCTGCAAAGCGGTCCCCGAGTCTCCGCTTGGTTTCCCCGATGTAGAGGCAGCCACACCGGGTACAGCGGATGCAGTATACCACATTGGCAGATGTGCAGGTGAACGTCTGCTTGATGTGGAAAGTCTTCTTGGGGCCTGGGATGGGGGTGAGGGAGGAGGTATGGGGGCAGGTGTAGCACTTCCTGCGGTTGCAGGGAAAAGTGCCGGGTGTGGTGGAGCTGGAGGGGAGTGTGGAGCGGACAAGGGAGTCATGGAGAGAGTTGTCCCTCCGGAAAGCAGATAAGGGTGGGGAGGGAAAGATGTCTTTGGTGGTGGGGTCGGATTGCAGATGGCGGAAGTGTCGGAGGATGATGCGTTGGATCCAGAGGTTGGTGGGGTGGTACGTGAGGACGAGGGGGATTCTTTTTTGGTTCTTATTGCGTGGACGGGGTGTGAGGGATGAGGTGCGGGAGATGTGGGAGACACGGTTGAGGGCGTTCTCGACCACCGAGGAGGGGAAGTTACGGTCCTTGAAAAACGAGGACAACTGAGATGTACGGGAGTGGAATGCCTCATCCTGGGAGCAGATGCGGCGGAGGCGAAGGAATTGGGAATAGGGGATAGCATTTTTGCAGGAAGGTGGGTGGGAGGAGGAGTATTCTAGGTAGCTGTGGGAGTCGGTGGGCTTGAAATGAATATCGGTTTCTAGGTGGTTGCCCGATATGGAGACAGAGAGGTCCAGGAAGGGGAGAGAGGTGTTAGAGATGGTCCAGGTAAACTTAAGGTTGGGGTGGAAGGTGTTAGTGAAGTGGATGAACTGTTCGAGCTCCTCGTGGGAGCACGAGGCGGCGCCGATACAGTCATCAATGTAACGGAGGAAGAGGTGGGGTTTAGGGCCGGTGTAGGTATGGAAGAGGGATTGTTCCACGTAACCTACAAAGAGGCAGGCGTAGCTTGGGCCCATGAGGGTACCCATGGCTACCCCCTTTGTCTGTAGGAAGTGGGAGGAATTGAAAGAGAAGTTGTTGAGTGTGAGGACGAGTTCAGCTAAGCGGAGGAGGGTATCAGTGGAGGGGGACTGGTCGGGCCTGCGGGACAGGAAGAAGCGGAGGGCCTTTGCATTCCCCATGCAAGTTTCAAAATCTCCCCTCCCCCTACCGCATCCCAAAACCAGTCCAGCTCGTCCCTGCCTCCCTAACCGTAATTTTCACAAATTGTTTTTAGTAGAGTCGTGTATAGCAGAAAACAAAGACACTGTGGTACTAAATGACACTGTAGATGCGAGTCCAAGGGTGGTTGAGCTCGCTACTCTCAAGTAGTAGTTATACTAGAAATACAGTACTTAGGCTTGCAGAGAGGAGACAGATGGAGAGTAATCAAGGTGCTCTTTCTGATCACCTATTAATGATGTGGAGGTGGTCCACCTGATGAAGGAGCAGCGCTCCAAAAGCTTGTGATTTCAAATAAACCTGTTGGACTTTAACCAGGTCTCATGTGACTTCTGACTTTAATCACCTAATAAAATTGTGCTGATGGTTACAGCTTTAAGGGAATTGAGCACATTATTCCTGCTAAGACGTCCATGCAGTACTGAGGGAAGGCAGCTTTTTTAAAGGTGCTGTCTTTCGCAGAAATGCTACAGTGAATTTAATATGCCCTCACCGGAAATTACAAGGTGTGGAGGGTTACATGTTATATCAGCAGGTGGCCTTCTCATCGCCTGCCCATGATTCCTGCCTCCATCACAATTTTAGCAAGTTTACTCATCAATGGGACAACTGACGTCTTTAACTGGGTAATTAATTCATCAGTGGTAAAGGCTCATGCCAAGTGAATAGACTGGCTCCTTGACTGGTTCCCTGGGCAGAGCAGGAACTGTAGTGTTTCAAATACTTCTGCCTCGGGTTAATGCAAAACAGACCACAGCACCAGGATAAGAGCAGTGAAGTTCCCTGGTGTCGAGATCTCTCACTTAATCCTCAAATACACTGGTCTTTTCTCTCATTGTTGCTCAGGAACTTTGCTGGGCACATAATTGGTTGCCACACTTGCCTACAAATCAATAGAACAATACTTCAAAAAGTTAGCTTTAGATAAGTAGATAAAGGAAGGACATTTTTATGAAGTGAAACTTTAAAATCTTTTGTCTACTGCACTACCCCCTAGTGGTAATTCTTGCCCTAAACTTCAGAAAGCCTTTTCAGGACATAATGCATCTGACCCAAATATTTTCTTCAGAATACTCAATAAAACAACCAGTAAATAGCACTGGAGGCCACTTGCAGGCAGAAGTCATCAATGTAATACCATTGTTGGAACACTGTTGTCCAAAATTAAGATTTTGCAATCAAAATTATATTGAAAGTAATTTGTGGAGTCATTGGTGGGCACTGATAGCAATGGTGGAAGTGGAAGGAGATGCAGGATTCCCTCAATTATTTTAAGTTGGGTCAAAGTGACTTTGAATGATTTCCTCCATTCTGCTATCGGGTATTAAGAATTAGCTGTGGCTTTGTTTATAACACTCTCGTCTCTGAGTTACAAGATTTAGGATTTACATCATACTCCAGGGCTTGGTTACTAAAAGGAAGGCCGGTACTCCAGTTTAGCCATGTCAGAGATACTGTCTTTCAGATGAGATGTTAAACTGAGGCCCCATACCTGCTTGGATAGGTGTAAAAAATTTCATGGCACTATTTTGTAGAGCTGTGGAGTTATCCTTAGTTTCTGATGCCTCAATCAACATCACAGAAACTGATTACTATCTAATTTTCATCTCATTGCTAACATGGGAATTTGTTGTGTGCTTTTTGGCTGCTGTGTTTCCTACAGTATAGCAGTGACTACACTTCGAAAGTTCTTGTAGGCTTTGAGATTGTCAGTTGTCGTGAACAGTAAAATGCAAATCGAACTTTTTTTTCTTTTATGAACTTAGTGGATAGTACAGCAGGTTCAAAGGAGCATAGGGCCTGCTTCTTCTCCCACTTCTTATGAAATATAGCAAATATAAGAAGTACTACAATGCTGCTCAATCCACAGAAAACATAAACCAGACAAAATATTAGCATGTCACAATATTGTAAATGCAAACAGAGCTCCTCACACACTCCCAATCTCCGATTGACTCATATATATGTTATATAGCATGCTGGAAGAAGCATAAACCAGATTGTGTCTTCTTCTATATCTTTTGCCAAAGACACAAGCACAGACTAATAGATGCTCCTCTAACAACATGCACTAGTATTCTGACGTAGGGGCCTTCACTTCCTCTGACTTAAGAACAAAGAAAAGTACAGCACAGGAAGAGGTCTTTCAGCCCACCAAGACTGTGCTGACACATAATGCCTTTCTAAACTAAAAGCCTTTTGCCCCTTTGCTGCATGTAGCCCTCTATGCCTTACCTATTTATGTACCTGTCAAGATGCCTCTTAAACATTGGTATTGTATCTGCCTCCATCATCTCTTCGGATAGCACACTCCAGGCACTCACCACGCTTTGCATAAAAAAACTGGCTCTCACATCTCCTTTAAACCTATCCCCTTTTACCTTAAAGCTATTTCCCCCGAGTAATTGACATTCCTACTGTGGGGAAAAAACTCTGACTATCCATTCTATCCCGTGCCTCTCATAATTTTGTAAACTTCTATCAGGTCAGTCCACATCCTTCACTGTTAAAGTGAAAACAGACCAAGTTCAATATTTCCTCACAGCTAATACCGCACCCCCCCCCCACCTCCTCCAAACCCCCAAACTAGGCAACATCTGGTACACTGTTTCTGTACCATTTCCAAAGCCTCCACATCCTTCTGGTGGTGTGATGACCAGAACTATACACAATATCCCAAATGTTGCCCAAGTAAAGTTCTTCACAGCTGCAACATGACTTGCCAATTCTTGCACTCTATACCCTGACCAATGAAGGCAAGACTTAATGAGTGTTTCCAGTATTCTAAATTTTTGCTCCAGATTCCAGTAACTGTAGGTATTTTTTGCTAACTATGCTAGTTATAGAATAACCAAACCTGGTTATAATGTTTTGATCTGACTTAATCAACCATATATAAATAGGATTCCATTGACAGCTAGCCAAAGGGCCACAGTTTAATATTAACCACATTTTATTTTCCACACCTGGAAGAAGGGATGAGACTTAATTTCATCAGCACCTCCTGGACCAGAGCCCAACCGTTTCTTAGGATCTTTAATCAGGAGCTGCTTCATTACATCTTTAGCTAAAGGACCAATTTCTGGAGGATATGGAGGATCACTTTTCAGAATTCTCCTAATGGGGAGAAAAAAAACATGTTTAATTGTTAAACGTTTAAAAATTGTTAAACCTTTTAACTTGGAGAACTTAAATGCTACATTTTCAATTTTAATGTTGGATTGAATACAATGTACTTGTTGGATTACGTTCTCAATGCTCGCCAGATCAATCAAAGGGATACATTGATATATAAATAATATCAAACAGGTCGGCATCTCAGCAATTGGAATAGGGGTTGCACAGAAGTGTAAGCATACAGAGGGACCACAGATTAAGTTTAAGGCAAACAAGTATTAAGTACTCGGCACGGAAAGGAGAAATAGACTGAGTTTATAACTAAATAACTACAGATAAATCTGGAGGAAGTTGAGTTCTTGAGAAACGGAAGCTTTTCAGAATAGAAATGAGGATCTGAATGATATACAACATTTTTACATTGAGGAAAAAGTAAACCTGATTTGTATTTCAAATCAATATTGGAGTAGAACAAAGGACACCAAATTCAACACTGATATTGGAAATTCCTCTTCACACAAAGATTAATCAATATAAATTTCCTGATAGACTATTAAAGGCAAAAACTTTGAAATCATGTAGGGAATTACAGGATGCTTCAATGGGGGATCGCTAAGATTACAGTACACTATAGAGGCCATTTGGTGCAAGAGTCCAATCCACTGATTACGATCTCCTATAGGCCTTCTCCTACTTTACTTCATCTAAGCCTGCCCTGCTGAACAGATGGACTAAGATAGGTCAAATAGTCTCCCAAGTCTGTAATTATGCACTGTACTTCATCTCGCAACAGCAATTCCACTCCTTACTTTGAAATTTCAGATTGTGAATTCCTTTCTCCATCAACAGTAAAAGGAGATGCTCCAGTTTTCAGTTCATACATCAGGACTCCAAGGCTCCACCAATCTACAGCCTGAACAAAGAAGAGGGCTATTGTTAAGTTACAAAAATACTGTACATTATACAATCTGATCTGCTACTGCATTCATTTGGACATCATAGAGGAAAATTGCTAAAGTATATGGGTAGAAGGAAATTCTTGTGTGTAGGCTTCAATCAGGTTCTTTGTTGAACAGTGGAGGTTGGTTAGCTCAGTTCATTAGATATTTAGATGGTTAGAGTGTGATACAGAATAAAGACAAAAATACTGGTTCAATCATGGTACTGGCTGTGAGAGTTCTTGCATGTATTGCCTCCTCACCTTGCCCCATGCTTGTGCAGTAGTGGCCTTCAAGCTACGCATGATTAATTGTGGACAGCCCTTTCTGGATGATAGAATCTCAACCTTATATTGTCCAGAAACTAAAATTGTGTGGTGCTTTCAATTTATTTTTAGGGCTCTTGTTGCACAGTATCATTGTCCCTACCTTTGGTTCTAAAGGTCCCAAGTCCCAACTGCCTCAGAAATGAGCTTTGCAAGTGTGACACGTAACACACTGTATCATAACTCCAATGTTAAGACCATGAAGCTCTCAAGTTATTCATGTCCAAGCTTTCTCCCTGGGGGTGGGAAAGGACATGTTAACAAGGACATATGAAGAAGACGGTGGTCTCCACATACTTAACATTGGGAAAGAAGTGACATTAAAACATCTACAGGGAGACTAATCTACTCCCCCAGTGGGAACATTGGTGGGCATAAGGGAAAATCTGATGAATGTAAAAGGGGACATCTGCAACAGGATGAAAATTGCAATAATTCAAACAACGTACAATAACTTAACAGATCCACAGGTAAAAACAGAAATTAAGCTAATATACAAGTGACCAAGTGAACATTAGGCGATTTTTTTTTTCTCTTTATTCATTCACGGGATGAGGGCGTCGCTGGCTAGGCAGGATTTATTGCCCATCCCTACTTGCCCAGAGGGCAGTTAAGAGTCAACCACATTGCTGTGGGTCTGGAGTCACATGTAGGCCAGACCAAGTAAGGATGGCAGTTTCCTTCCCTAAAGGACATTAGTGAACCCAGATGGGTTTTTCCAACAATAATCAATGGATTCACGGTCACCATTAGACTGTTAATTCCAGATATTTATTGAATTCAAATTCCACCATCTGCCATGGCGGGATTCAAACCGGGTCCCCAGAACATTATCTGGGTCTCTGGATTAACAGTCCAGTGATAATACCACTAGGCCATTGCCTCCCCTTGAAGGGGATATATTAAACTTTTCAACTATTAGCCTGCCAATAAAACCAGCTTATAGATATGCATGTATACTTAGAGATCTACTGTCCAGAAATTCTACCTCTTGTAGAGAAAATTGAGGTATACTTTTAACCTTTAATTTAAGAAAGTCTATGCAAACTTCTGTATTGGTAATTTCCACTGTACAGTTTCCTGTCATGGTTTCTTAATACGCTGGTCAAACTGTTTGAGATATGTTTTGAGAACATTTTGCTACTGAACTGGTACCAGCTCTTTTTTTGTAAGGATTTCAGAATTTCTTTTGTTTTTGTACCCTTTCAAACAGGTTGGAAAGTAAGAAATTGAAGTCTTATTTTAGAGCAATATTCAAAATACACAGAGGTGACAGGTGAATTCACTCCCCAAGATCCCCACATTACCCCACTAAATTCAATCACCTATCAGAGAAAAGTCACCATGGTAAATAGAATGAAGTCCCAGAGGTTTAGGATCAGGCAAGGTTCTTCAGCTGCCTTTTTGTCAAGCTAACCAAGTCTTTGTACAGGTATTTGGCGGGGTGGGGTTTGTGAGGACCCTACAAAGTCAATAAGGGGAGACTAGGGGCCATAAGTGTGTCATGTAGGGCTGGGGGGAGGAAGCAAGAGATGTGAGAGAAAGAGGCAGCCAGCAAGAATCTGGAAGGGAAACTTCAGAGGGTGTGAGATTTATAATTTGACCACATCGGTCAGAACGTCAGAGCTACAGACTCGGGATCTTCATCCTTTGGCCAATGAGTCATTCTTGAAGGCAACAGTGTTTTTTTTTCAGAAAGCTAAATTGCAGAGACTTTTTTCCCTTTTCCTGAAGAGAGAGAGACAGAGAGAGAGCGTGTGCGTGCAGAGCTGTTTAAATGGATAGGCATTGGGAGGTATGTTACCACTGTACAGGACATTGGTTAGGCCATGTTTGGAATACTGCGTGCAATTCTGGTCTCCCTGTTATAAGAAGGATGTTGTGAAACATAAAACAGTCCACAAAAGACTTACAAAGAATGTTGCTAGTATTGGAGGGCTTGAGTTATAGGGAGAGGCTGAATAGGCGGGGCTATTTTAACTGGGGTGTCAGAGGCTGAGGGTGACATTATCAAGGTTCATAAAATCATGAGGGGCATGGATAGCGTAAATAGACAAGGTCTTTTCCTCAGGGTGGGTATTCCAAAACTACAGGGAATAGGTTTAAGGTGAGAGATGAAAGATTTAAAAGAGACCTGAGGAGCAACTTTTCACACAGCGGGTGATGTGTGATATCTGGTCGGCATGGATGAGTTGGACCGATGTTGTACATCTCTGACTCGGAAAGGAAGGTTGCAAACAAATCAGGACAGTAGGGAACCTACGGAACGTTGTTTATAGAGAATGTATTTGTAATAATCAATTATTAAATTTAAATCTGAGATTCAGATTTGAGACTCAGTAAAAAGGGTAGTAACTACTTAGTTATAATGTTCCAGCTTTGTACAAATGCAACAGAAACACAGGAGCTGTGAATTTATTAAACTGTAAGGTGGTGTGTTTAAGTGATTTTTTTTGTATCAATTATTTTGAATGAAAACAATTTTAACAACTTCGGCTTGTTGTCTTGTGCCAATTTAAATAGTGGTATCCAAGAAATTACTTCACTTGTATGCTTTAGCTTGAAGTTTAATGGGGTTAATAAATATTAAGTATATAAATTATTTCTTCTAATTCTGCTTCTGAGTACCCTACTCTTTTCATACAAATATGCTATATATCAAAACAAATGCAGAAGGTAATGTACTACATGACTGTATCACATAATAAATAAAGTAGAGAGAATGAAAAAGTAGACCCCAAAAACCAAAACATAGTCGCTGACAATCAATTTGCAACCCTCAGGAAGAACCCTCAAAAATATTTTGTGCCCTGCTTCAGTCAAGTCTCATTTAAAATATTCACAAACATTTCTGCCTCATCCTTGTTCATTGTTTTTCAATGATTACTGTTCACTTAGGCAAAACCCAATGATTAACAGCAGCTGCACTTCTTTCGTTTTTTTTGATCATTAACAATGATTGTTTATGGAATGGATTTCTTGTTCCTTAATTGAAAGGTTAAACATTCAATTAAAAATCTTCAGAACCAATTTTGATAGTAATGAGTTTTTGTTTCATTAAAAACTGCGAAACTGTGTTAGTAATTAACTTCTAATCCAATGTATTTTGTTCACCTGCACTTGCTGCCCTAGAAGGTAGGGATTGTGAGAATTACAATACTATGGATGTAAAAGTGTGAAATTCCTTCTCAAGAACAGACATTAAGTACCAAGTAGTATGATTGGATGACCATACTAACTATTAACACTGAAAGAACTGCGGATGCTGCAAATCAGGAGCAAAAACAAAGTTGCTGGGAAAGCTCAGCAGGCCTGGCAGCATCTGTGAAGAAAAAAAACCCGAGTTAACATTTTGGGTCTGGTTCTGACCCTTCCGAGGAAGGGTCACCAGGCCCGAAACGTTAACTCTGTTTTTTCTTCACAGATGCTGCCAGACCTGCTGAGCTTTTCCAGCAACTTTGTTTTTGTTCCCAACTATTAATACCCCCTACTGATTCTAGCCAAATAACTTGTAACAGAGTGCAAACTTTTGCAGAGATTACATACCTTATCATGTCCTGCATCTCCACCCTGAACAATTTCTGGAGCCATGTACTCTATAGTGCCACAAAAGGAGTATGCCCGTTCATTCTGGAGTTTAAAAAAAGTGAAGAATGAAAATCAGAGCGTCAGTATCTGTTTCAAATTGAGGAACAATTTTAAAACTATCACAATATCAGAACATTTTTTCATAACATAACATGCTACAGAAGCAAAGGAATCAGTCATAGTTTACTCCACAGAATAAAAATTGAAGATGAATAATATGCCCTTAAATCTTAAAAGTGTTGGATAGTTTCTGAAGTGCAGAAATAAATTTGCATTCGTCTTTGGGTTTGAAACCATTCAAATGTCCTTGCTTTTATCTCGGTCACAAAATAAAGTGGTCCCTGTGTAAAACCAATAAATTTAAATTTCAAAACTGTATGTTGTGGATAACAAGAGACATTGAGAAGTAGTTTCATTTATCTGTCAGGGTTTAGCATCCATAATTTTAATGAGATATGCTTAATTTGCTCAGTTTCCTTTATTTCTTACTGGATGCAAACATTTGTTCATTCTCTTGTCTCTGCCCACTCAAGTATTCTGATTCCCCTTGAAATCTCTAGTTGGATTTCTAGATCTGGAATTTCTCAGACTGATTTAAAACTGTTGGCACTGAATCAAAGAAAGGTCTAGTCTGGAGTAACCAGTTTCAAGATGCGTGCCGATTCTTCCTTGATCACATTAATTATGAAGAAATCCCTACAATTATGATACATTAGCTTCAAGTTTATCAAAGGAAAACACCAATTAGGGTGACTGCAAGACCAGTTACTAATCTAAGGTGTAGAGCTGGATGAACACGGCAGGCCTGGCAGCATCAGAGGAGCGGGAAAGCTGATGTTTCGGATCTGGACCCTTCTTCTGAAGGGTCGGCAGTTCCTACGATTTCTCAGCTACTAATCTACCTCTTCTTAGCTCACTAGTCAATCACTCATCAAACCAATGGTCCCAGTTACGGCAAAACCATGATTCAAACAAAAGTACTGGGAACTAAACATCAGCAGGATTTTCAGGTCAAATAATACGTTAAAGGAAGAGGAATGCTAGTAATACTCAATAACTTTTCTCTCAAACCCCTCACATTCGATTATGTCATATGCCTGCTGATGTTTTAACACCACTTATCCCCAGTCTTCAGCCACTTGAAGTTAGGATCAAAAATGGTCTGAAGTGACCTTTGGATAGTGACGGTGTGGCACCAAAAAAAGTCACCTCACTGCAACTGAACTCTCCAAGTTTACTCTGAGTTCTTAAGGATGTGTCATAAGTCCTTTTCCTCGCTATTCATTCAGACACAAAAAGAGAAATCCAAACAAATTTCATATAGCACCAAGCCAAGACTGGACAAGAAATAGCAAACCAAAGAATGTCACATTCCAACACTGTTTCACAGAGTTGGGTAAAGATTTTAAAGACACACACAAATATAGAGATCACCACTAAACAGTTTGTGCGTTAAGAACCGATGATTGTTCACGTGCAAGAGACGGATGTGTTTGTTGCAAGGGCAGTCATTTTACAAAGGAATTCAACATGTGGTTTTCCTCAGTTGGTCTTTTGGTTGCAGTTCTTCAGCTGCATAGATGAAGAATCTTTTGTTTTGAAGTTCTTATATTCCTGAACCTAATCATTTAACAATTAGCACATTGAATAGATGATTCATTTTGCAAAGCTCAGCTGTGACCAATAAATTGTGGTTTATATCGGTGCCTGAACAAGAACTAAGTACCGCATTCTAAGGAAATGTTAGACCTCAGAAAGATGTATGCCACATTATCTGCAATTACCATCTAGAAGGGACAGGAAGTTGCCTTGTCACTAGACACAGCAAAGAAAAAGGAAAGAGAGAAAATACATTAAAATATAAAAATAAACTGTAAAATGGAATCCAGATATAGTTGTATGGATTGGATTTGGTTTAAGTGGCTTTTACATTTGGGATGTTGAAGCAGGCGTCCCAAGTTTGTAATGTAGATTTTGCTAAAGGCCAACTTGTTTGTACTATCGGAAATCAAGTTTGTAACCAAAAAAAACCTTTGTTTCCTGGATAAACTAGATGTAATGGCACGTTATTTATCATAATTGCAGACTTCAACAACAGCTTGACGTTGTTGTTTCATGTCTTCACCCCTAGTGTCACTTCTATTCTCTTCTTGTGTCCTCAGTTTAATTTCTATGTCCACTCAAGGCTGTACATGAGTGAACAGCAGGATTGCGTGGTATGCCAGACTCTTCCAATGTTTATTTTAAGGCTTTTGTCTTGGTTCAAAAAAAAAAGTTTTCATTTGACAAAGCAACATACAGTAAATGGCAGGACCCTTAGGAGCATTGATTTACAGAGGGTGCAAGTCCATAGCTCCCTGAAAGTGACATCGTAAATGGATGATGTGGTAACGAAGGCATTGGCATGCTTACCTTCATCAGTTGGGGCACTGACTATGAAAGTTGGCAAAACATGTTGCAACTGTATACAACTTTAGTTAGGTCGCACTTGGAGTACTTGTGTAGTTCTGGTTACCACACTGATAGGAAGAATGCATAGGGTGCAAAAAAGGTTTACCAGGATGCTGCCTGGATTGGAGTGTATTATCACAAGGAGAGGTTGAACAAACTTGGATTGTTTTTGCTAAAGTCTGAGACACTGAGGGATGACATGATATGGGTATATCAAATTACGAGAGGTATTGTAGGGTGGAGAGTCAGAGTTCTGTTCCCATGGTGGAAATGTCAAACATCATGGGGCATAGTGGGAAGGGGAAAGTCTAAAGGAGATATGCCAGGCAAGATTTTTTACACAGAGGGTGGTAGATGCCTGGAACACACTGCCAGGAGAGGTGGTAGAAGCAGATACAATGTTTAAGAGGCATTTAGACAAACAAATGAACAGGCAGGAAGTAGAGGGATAGGGACCATATGCAGGCACATGGAATTAATTTAGAATGGTACCATGGTTGGCGCAGATGTCGTGGGCGGAAGGGCCTGTTCCTGTGCTTGACTGTTCTATGTCTGTAATGTTACCACAAAATTAACATGAAAAAATGTAGATACAAGGAGCAAGTATTTAGGCTCAGGCACAGTTAATTATTTGAAACCAAAATCAGAGATTTAAAGTTAGGAAATTGTTAAATGTTCTGGTTTTAATGCAGTTACTCTATTCCTGGAGACAGAAAAAGCAGGCAATAAAGGTAAATTGATCCCATATTTCCTAACAGACTGTAAGTTCAGCCTGGTTTCAAACAACACTTTTAGTAATCTCTACAAAATACATTTTCAGAGCTGAATACAGAACGAATGCATTCCACTACAACTGAAAACACCAAATTCAGCTGTCTACTTCTAATTATCATCCTTTGTCTTTTAAAGATTAGTTTTATTTTTTGGACAATAATCTACAAAGTTTGTTGTTAATATTTGATCGGTGGTTAATCACAAGTTTACCATTTGAAATTAACTGTGTAACTGTGATGTTCCATTTCACCCTATGTTTTCTTTAAAATAAGTTACGAGCCACTGGCATCAACACTAATAACATCCATCAGATAGACACTTAGGGAGTGGACAGTAGGCATTGCAGTCACCAGATTTATTTAGCATGTTAGTACCAATGGGGAAAATGGAAAATAACGCTGCACTTAAGTCAAAATATTTCAGTGATGTACGTTATGCCTGATTTATAATCTGAACCTGTACTCATGAAAACATTCACTTCATCCAAGCACCACACAACTTAAAGTGCTCTTTCCAGGCACAGCTAAATCCCAATCTTCAGTTATCCTTACTGAATGCTATTCAAAGTTTACGTGGTGATAACGTGATTACTTAAAACACATACGATTATGCTATATTTGAATGTGAAACATCAAAAGTCCATGTATGATGACAGCATATGTTCTTATGTTACAATGACAAGCATTTTGAGGGTGTTGCTTCTCAAACAGAAAATTTCAGAAGATGTTGAGTTGAACAGTGATCTCTGTAAAGGAACTGAAAAGATTATGTCCACAGCAGAAGATGAATAATTACTCTATTATGGTAGTGGGGTACTGGGGAAGCCGGGAGAAGGAGAAAAAAAAATCATTAATGTAAATCCTATGTTTTAGGAATTAGGTAAAATCCAAATTGTAAAATAAACATGTTGCAAATGAAATTCACTTCTCCATGGTCCGGTCAACTTTAATTTGTTTTAAAGGTTTCTCATACAATAGACACTCAGTTTGCTGCAATTTAGAAATTTTCTCCTCCTGAAACTTCTCTCCTTTGTAATCCTGCCAGTTTCAGTACCTAAATTAATGACTGGTGTAGCCTCAGGTATACAGCTATATGGCTCAAAGCTTGGCTTGTAACAAAACACATTTCCAGAGCTGAATACAGAACAAATGCATTCCATCACAACTGAAAACACCAAATTCAGCTCTCTACTGCTAATTATCACCCTTTGTCTTTTAAAGATTGTTTTTATTTTTTATTAGCAACAAGGTTTGTTGCTAATGCTTGATCAGATGCAGAGAAACTGCTTTTTTTGTTTCCTTTAGAACTGCTTCACTTAAGCATTTCTAGCTATTCTTGATAATGAAACTTTGTTGCAAAGCCATGATGTCCTCTGCCATCTTGCAGTTCTTGTGACTGCACTAAACCGTTGAAATAAAATAAGGAATTCAGGTCATAATTGATTTGAAACCAAGATTGATTTAAAAATGTGACCTATTTTGATGTAGGTCAATCTTAAAAATATATCTCATATTTTTAAGAAGGTTTCCAATCCTTTCCTGTAATTATCAAGAGAGGCAAGTCTTTTATAGGACATAGGAAAATAGAAACGGGAGCAGATCATTCAGACTCTCCAGCACGTTCTGCCATTTGATGAGATCATGGCTGATCTGTGGCCCAACTCCATATATCTGCCTTTGGCCCACAACACTTAATACCTTAGCTTAACAAATATTTATCTATCTCAGGTTCAAAATAAATAACATAACAATACATTCATTGCCATTTGCGGATAACAGTTCCAGATCTCTACCACCCTTTGTGTGTAGAACTGC